TCAGTTTCAGGGAGGTTCAGAACACCCAGGTATTTATTACGCTTCCTGGGAGAGGAAATGGTGCCGATAACAGGTTTCAGGTGCTTACAGGAGGCAGGCCGCTTCGGGCATGCACGCACAGGCCCAGGACTGTGAGTCAGAGATGCCAGAATGCACTGGAAAGATTTGATAACATTTTTATTAAAAGCAACAGAAAGAAAACATGCAATACATGATGCACTGAATGAGCTTTTTCTTCCTCGTCATAAAAGGATATAAAATGAGAATATGTTAGTGGTTCAGACTACAGATAACAGAAATAAATTATGGGACTACATTAGTTAGGTTCATTTTAACTCTCACCTGGAAATATATTTTCCATTATTTTCTTGGCTTCTCTCTGGTTTCCCTTTCTCTGTCTGTGAAGCACATGGTTTCTTTGCAAAAAAGCAGATTTGATAGAACATGAAGTGGGAATTCATAATAATAATATTTTTTTAAAAAAAATTGTATCCAATTTGAGAGAATCTAGAGACAAAAATTTTGAGGAAATTAAAATCTTTGGCAATGGGGAGAATAATTTTTTGGGGCTTGATTAAGATAAACCTTAGTATATTGTGGTAAAAGATAAATATTAATTAATCTTCATTTCTTGTGTGTGTATGTGTGTGTAGGGAGTGGTGCATTATAAGGCATGACTCTGCTGACATCCTTGTGTCTGTAGCTGAGTTCTCCATAGTCTAATAAGGGATATACCATAGGAGTGTGCTCATTTAAATGTGTTTATCTAATTAGTCATAGGAACTTCCAAATAGATATTTAATTCTTGAGTGTTGAATATTACATTTGCTTATTTGCTTCACTTAAAATGCATACAATACCTAGTAGCAACACGAGGAAGATTTTTTAAAGCGACAATTACATGTCTCCAGTGAAGTGAGGCTCAGAAGACCGTCTTCACATAAATCTCAACAAACAGCTACCCTTATATCGATTGCTCTCTTTCTTGCACTTGCGGAATCACAGCTGGATCTCCTTATGAAAAGAGAGCATATAATAATTGCACTAAATATGCATTAAATTACTTTGCAAAATGATGGTGGCATCCATTATAAATCCTGTGTTTGAGGACTTTAATCAGCTATTTAAATTTTCATCAGGATGCAAGTCGACATGCAAGTTCTTAGCCAAAGGCATTCTGTTTATCACATAAATATGTCGTGGTTAAGAAAAGCACAGGCCCCTACACTTTCCCAGGGTATCAGAGGCACACAAGCATGTCTCAGGAGCAATAAATAACAACATGAAATTTTTAAAATATCAAACTTTAATTTTGAAACATTGTTTAGCTGGCAACTATGTTTCCTATGAATAATATTCGTAGTCCTCAAGAAATCAAGTTTAGAGGAGGGGAATTACAGAACATAGAGAATGCTAGCAATTGTATTTTTGACGAACAAAGCTATTACAAGCAAAGCAAACAATTTGTTGATTATAACACAAGGCTTTACTTTAGTTTCTTCTGCGCTAAATCTTTTGTACAGCAAAGCACTTATACCAAAATGAAAAGGAATGGGCTATTTGAGGTTATAGTATTTTCTTTTCTCATTTCTTTTCACATTTACCTGATCTCAATTACATACAGGGTATGGGTTGTATTGATTAACTTCCAAAAACAAAGATGGTACATTTTCTATCTGCTGGGATGCAGGGAAAGGATCATGGGAAAGTAACTTCTTGTCTCCATCACAGCAAGCCCTCCATTTATCCAGCCCGGAGTATCTTGCAAGTGCTGGGAGGAGGAGGAGGAGGGAGGGAGGATAGGAAGGAACTGAGGTCACCTTGAACTTGGCTAGGACTGGCTGGTTCCTAGATAAGTGGATAAGATTTCTAAAACTTTTCCCTGGAGTAATTTATTATTCTAAAGTGAGAGGCAGGAATGGTGATTATTTATAGAAAATGTAAATGACACTGCCCAGTGGAAAAAGAGAAAAAAACAACAATATATATGAATATTGTGGTTTTGCTCTTTGAATGAGGATTTGTAGTATAGGAGATGTTTAAATTCTCAATTTTTACACTTCTAATATCTAGCAATTACTCTGAGAGGTATAAAATGTTGAGGTAGAAAATTATTTAGGTGAATCTCTCTTTCCCTTCATAAGAGATGGTTTAAACTATAAATATGCATTGCCATGAAAGTTTTGTGATATTTTGTCTAGTTTATTGTATTCACCAAAATTTAAATTCAGTGATGAAAGGAATTTTCTATTTGGTCATTGTACTTACACCTATAACCTAGTATGAATACACAAATATTTATTGAATGAGAGGTTGAATAAATGAATATATGTGTGGTTAGGAGATTAATGGAAGGAAATGGGGGGAAATGGCTATAAAAAGCTAGCAAGCATATTGCCGTTTCAGGAGCTTCCTTGAATAAAGTTCTGAATTCAATTTTTAGGTCTATTGTTGATTTGGGTGAGAGATTTGAGTGACAATTACAGTGCTTATTCAGCTTATAGATGGTGATGTGATGCTCTTTTTCTCTCTTCTTTGAAGAAGTCACTACTAAACAGGAATGGATATCTATATAATTAAAAGGAGTTAAAAAAAGAAAAAAACAACCATTGGCAGCCAATACATTTTCCCACTACTTATGCATAAAGTCTTTCCCTTGTTTTCTAAATGAAAATCTTTAGCAGTGACTGGCTAGGAAATTGCTTCTAACACTGAGTATCTTGGCTCCAAAAGTCTGAAATGCTGGTCAACTTGCCATCGATAACTAGGCATATGACCCTGAGCAAATAACTTTGGGCTTCAATTTCTCCGTCTAAGGCCTACAAGTAAAGGTGTTCTGGGGGAGCACCTAGATCCCTCCTAGCATAATAGCCTATGAATTTACATTCTAAGATCTACCTTGACTGCTGCCTGCAGCCTAGAGTACATGACTGTGTTACACTTACATGTATTTTAAAAGTATGTCTCCTGCTTCCCTTTGCTCTTAGTGACTTCCCATTGCAGACCTCTGCTCCTCCTCTCCTGGGGAACTGAGTTGGGTAGAGCTTTCGCATCCATGAGCACTAGCCAAGGCACACACATTTCAATCACTGCAGCCAGCTAGTGAAACAACGGAACTATGGGACTGGTGACTCTGTATCTCCATTCAGTGCTAATAAGACTCATAATAAGGCATGACATGGCAGTATTTGAGAAGTTGCAAATAAGAGATCTCTAACTTCATACCTCAGAGTTACATGGAACACGGCTTCCTCTTTTTCCTACTGTCTGAGTGTGTGTCTGTGTACTTGTTGAATAAATATGTGTAATATGAGCGGCCACCAGTACAAAAGAAGATATTATTCTGAGATAGAAAACCATCAATCCTTTCATAAACATAAACATTATTATAAGCAAAATGAGAGCAAACTTGTCAGAACCACAATATGGCAATTAGTTCACAAAGCATCTCACTAGTTTTCTGGGAAAATAATAACTCTGAAATCTAGTCTGTTCTCTAAGGCAATGAGAAGTTTTTTCTATTCACAGTATCTTTAATCCTGCTGTCGCTTCTATCTACTTGAGGATAATGGCTCTGCTACCACAATCTTCCCTGATTTTGAGCCTCATTTCCCTTTTTTTATTCCTATTAATTTCATCTTAATCATATATTTTAAAGCCTCTTAAAATGTTCTCTTTTCAATGTATTCAATCACTTTTTCTATAAGGATTCAAGAAATGATTATTAAAATTGTACTAATTTAAATAATTTTAAGTTAATCATAAGGTACACTTTCTCTTTCTCTCTTCCTCTCTCTCCCTTTCTCCCTCTCCACCTCCCTCCTTCCCTTTCCCATAATATTGAGGAGTGTGAGAATCTCCTGGCAAGGATTTAAAGTTTATCTGGCTAATCAGAACAGCTGTTTATCTGACATTTGGAAACTCACTGGAGCAATATCTGGTTTTCAAGGCAAATAATTTACCCCTTTCCCTCAAAAATTTGGGACATTTCTAGTTTTCAAAGTCAAAGTCCTTGCCAGCGCTCCCTAACCTGTTTTATAAAGTCATCATCATTTGCAAACCTTTACCAGTACCCGGTGTGCCAGGCTTCTGGGAAATAAAGGGCAAAGAGATTTAAAATATTGTCTCAGACTTCAGGGGAGAGGAAGATCATAAACACAAGTATGCTGTTAACACCATATACTGGCAGTGTATTCTAAATGTCAAATAAGTGAGAGAAATATTAATCACTACAGGAGTTGAGAAGTTGACGTTGGGGCAGGGGGGAAGCTCCACAGAGGAGGGCAATGGTCTTCTAGGCTTCAGTCTCACATGTGAGGGCCAGTTGGTTGTGAAAGTGAACCATGTACCGCCAATGGATGGATGCACAGATGGACTTCACAAATGACAAGAACCTCCTGAAATTGCATGGGAACATTTGTTTTTATGTCCTTTTCTTTTCCCCATCGCGGAGTCAGTACTTAAGGACCACTTTCTTTTTTTTCTAATTTTGGCAGAGGCTTCTGATTCCCAGTGTAGGATGACTTCCGCCCCAGGCCTTTGGCTCATATGGTTCTCAGGGTGTTTGCTTTCACCCTGACCTCAGCACTCACCCCTTATCTGAGTTCCTGTTCTGTGCATCTGTGAGTAAATCTATGCTTCATGCCTCAAGTTCCCTGTCATGGAGCGTCCATGAGCTTCTGTGGATGAGTTCCTATTTGCTGCTCCACCCCCACTCCAGACCTCCCAGAGAATGAATTTTCTGCTCTTGAAACAACTTCTCAGAGCTGGTTTTCCAATATCTGTTGCCACATTTCTAAGTGCCAGTCACCTGCCTCCCTGGTATTTTTGCTGTCACCACGCACCCTGGCTTGAATGGATGCCTTGAATTTCAGAGAAGGTATAGCACCTCTGACTAGTTGTGTTTCGATCCTCCCTGCCCTTTTCCCTGATTAGCTCCTCTCCAGATTCTATATTTGCCCTTGGACCCATGATCTCAGGGTTTTTTTGTGTGTTTTTTTATGTGTAGGGCATGATGTCACAGGAAGGTCAGAGTATATTGCCACCTGTGAGCAGTTAGCCCCAGTTACTGTTGGATGTGTTATACACAGAAGAGCCATTCTTCAGGCACTCTGCTCTCTCCTCACATCCCGATCTTAGGTTTTAAATCTCAAATGTCCTCAACCCCTGCCATTGTTGTCTGAACTTTTAGGACTTGAAACTGTCAAATCCTAGACAGGAATTATGATAATCATGAATCTTTAAAATAACTTTTAGATGTGCACAAAGTCTTGAAAGTAATATAAGACCTAATATAAATTGAAGTGGGTAGGAAGGGGTTTATTGGAATATATGGAAAGCATCCTGGTTAAGAGGTAGGGGAAGAAATTTAACCAAAATTAGAGAGGTAGGCATTCTATAGCAAAGTTAGGAAGGAATAAGTAGTTATATAAAATAATAAATGTCCTAATTTATGTAATGGTTTGATAGGAATAAAGAGTTGATTTTTTAAAAATAATATATGCTAAAACGAAGCTTCTAGAATCTAAATATTTTGCAAAATCCTTGGCAATATTGGTTTTTCAGAGGCAAGAAGTAAAGCTTTTAATGATTTTCTATTTGTAGATGATTCAAAATTAGGCATACCTTTTATGCAAGTACAACATCCACTGTGCTTAGCATTGAATTATTCTTCCATGATTTTCACCATCACGTTGTAATACATTTGAGTCATCATATGATGATAGAATGCCAAGATTCCAAACTAAATCTCCTTTCTTAAAATCACATTGCTAATGACCTGTAATTGTCACACCAGTAATTTTCTGCGATTCTCTAAAATATTATCACAAAGAACCCATTTTATTTGGCAGTGTTATATTTCTAAATGTATTTTTGTTCTTTAAAAAACAAATATTTCAATTTTGAGCTACTCTGCCATGTGATGTTCTCATTTTATAGAATTATTATTAACAGCACAAGCCCCAACTTTTAATTTAGGGTGGGTGTAGCTTGTAATTTTTAAAGTACTTTTATGACTAGAAGCCATTTTTCAGTGATAATTAAAATTATATTAAGTGAATCTTGTAAAATGTAGCACCATAAACTGTTACAGTGGTGCTAATCTGATAAATCTCAAAAGTAATGAATGTCATTAGCACTTTAAACACATAGAAAACAAACATAAAGAGAGATACAGAAGCAAACATAATGGTAGCCCTTAAAGTTTGAAATGATTAGCAGTAATGCTGATTTTTAAGCTTAGTGTCTTCTGAGATTTTTGCAAGGGGATTAGAGTTTCCAAATTATGCCTTATTTCATTAGATAAGGAATAATATGAAAATTACTTTGCTAAAATATTTTCTTTTGAAGAAAAATGAAGTTATCAATTGGTAAGTTAAGCATTTACCTGCAAACAAACAAAGAAAGAAAAAATTGGGGTAAAACACTGCAGGTCTTCAATAAATGTCTATGAATTATGTGAGCCTCCAGACTTTCTCTAAGCCGCCCTGGAAATTTCATAGTAGGCCCAGCTTGGATATTATAGTCCAAAGAACCCATGAATCATGAGGACAACACTGAAGTCCTTTGAGGCCAACATTCTCCTTTGAAGGGGAGAACTAAGGCACCAAGGATACTGTGGCAGCATAGATCAGAACAACATAAGGGTATCCTAAAATAGTCCACTTTTCCCTAGGGTCAGGAACAAGGTCCAGCCCCAAGGAAGATCACACCTCTACCAACCTTACATCCACCAAACTGTGCCTGAGAAAGTCATGGACACACAGGCTATAGGGCTTACTACACAAAATAATTTTTCTTCTAAAATCAAAATGTGAGATAATTTTTATATCCTCACCCTTTCACACATAACATTGAAAATGAATCAGTCATAATTTTGAAGTTTGCTTAAAGCAAGGGAAAGAACAAATGCTTCCATTTAAGAAAAATTATGTTAAATTTTATCATATTAATGTACAGTACCATATATATAATATAAAAAATACCATAAAAAATTTTGAGTTGCAATTTCTTAATTTAGTCTGTCCTCATACATTACCTTTCCTTGAAAACTTGATTCAAAATTGCTTTCTTAACATGGAGAATTCCAGTTTTAGAAGATGTGGATTTTGAAGCAATATTGTGGCAGAAGCTTACGGGTTTTGTGGGGGGAGGGGTGAGACTTGGGAGAGAAGAAGAGCCCAAGGAAAGTGCAGGGGAGAAATCAGAGGTGGAAGATAGTCTTTTTGTTTCTCTTCAATATTGCGGTATAGTGTCCTGGGTTCTGAATAAGAAAAAATGACAACTCTTAGAAACATACTAGAATTGTCCATAATTTAATTTCATTAAACTATAAAAGATAAATCATCATCCTGGGATACTGTCTTAGTCTGCTTGGCTATTATAACAAAACCAGAGGCCCGGTGCATGAAATTCATGCATGGCGGGTGGGGGAAAGTCCCTCAGCCCGGCCTGCACCCTCTCACCATCCAGAACCCCTCAGGAAATGTCTGACTGCCGGTTTAGGCCCGATCCCACAGGAATCCCTGAGGGATCAGGCCTAAACCGGCAGTAGGACATCCCTCTCATAATCTGGGACCACTGGCTCCTAACCGCTCACCTGCCTGCCTGATCGCCCCTAACCACTCTGCATGCTTGCCTCATTGCCCCCAACCACTAGCCTGCCTGCCTAATCACCCCTAACCACCTCTGGTTGCCTGCCTGATCACCCCTAACCACTCGCCTGCCTGCCTGATTGCTCCTAACCACCTCTGCCTTGCCCATGCCTCTGTGGCTTCGTCCAGAAGGTCTGGAATGATGTCCAGAATGACGTCTAGAAGTCCATTCATCTGTCCAGTCTGATTAGCATATTACGCTTCCATTATTATAGACTAGAGGCCTGGTGCAGTTTAAACAACAGGTATGCAGTTCTCATGGTTCTGGAGGTTGGGAAGTCCAAGATCAAAGGTTCTGGGTGCAGGCTTTCCTTCTGGGTTGCAGATGGCCATTTTTAGTTCTTCAGGGAACCCCAAAGCAAGAGCACTGGAGTGACTCCCTGACTCTGCCCGAACTAGAAGAGGGAAGGCCAACTTCAGTTCAGAAAATATGTGTTTCTGCAAGGGGCGGGGGGTGGAGAGTGGGGGCTGGAAGGGAAAGGACTCTGCTGTTATCTGTTCTCCCTCCACATTTCCTCTACAGGAGCCTCAGAGAAAACAGGTAGGAGAGAAGGAGGCTGATGGGAATTATTCATACTTCTCAGAGGCAGGGGATGGGACAGACTGAAGTGTTGTTCATCCTCTATTGCACAGAGATTATATGAAGTAAGCAGATATTTTACACCTGGTTTTTCTGAAACTGTCACTCAAAGATTTTGTCAGGCAGAAGGGTGGCCCACTGTTACACCATTCCCTCAGCCCAGCTTTTTGCCCTTCCTCTCTCTGAAAATGAATGACTCTGTATATACCTAAACTTAAATGCCCTGGTGCTAAGATTTGCTAGCTTTAGTTATTTCTGAAACACCCATTTAGGAATCATTTTGTTTTCCTTTTCTTAAACAAAATTGTTTTTGATATTTTAATTTTAAAACACAGCACTAGGAGCTTCTCCCTTGGTGGTGGTGAGATTTCCTTCATAGTGCTTCAGTTAATAAAGCATTTTGGGATAATGAAGGGTGAAAATCACAGTATAAATGTAAAAGTTCCCATATTAATGAAGCATAACATATTATTGGAGCCTTCATGGAATTTTCCATTGCCAAATCAAGGCTCATTATTCTGCACCTGAGCACCACCATCCCTAGAGTTCCATGGAATGTTTTAATAAGAGAAACGTCCCATTTTGTTATATAAAACCTTATTTCCCCTTCCTGACAGTCTTTTCCTCCATGGCTTTTAGCATGGCCTCACAGGTTCCTGCTTTCAAATATAAATTCGATGAAGATACATCTTTTCAATTGTGTGGGTTGAAGCAGGGCAGGGATTGCTATCATCTGAGAAAGCGTTCAGGAAGTCTTGCCAGAAAATATGCACTGGGAGCTGTGATGTAAAATGTGTCCGACTTTGGGTTTATGATCCAAAACCATGACATCACACACACAGGCCTCATGGCATTTTGAGATCCAATTTATACATTATGACAGTCCTTGTCCTTTCCAATCTCAGTGGCGGGCTGGTGTGTTGAGCAATATATATTTGAGACCCTGTTAGAGAATGGCAATGATTTCCCATTCTTTTATTGATCCTCCTCTTAGAATTAATTTTTCTAGACTGTGTTGTTTCACCAGAGTTTGTGTGTGATCCTCTGTTTTTGTTTTTGTTTTTTTAATCCTCACCAGAGGATATTTCTGTATTGATTTTTAGAGAGAGAAGGGGGAGAGAGAGAGTGAGAAAGAGAAAGAGAAACATCTATATGAAAACAAAGCATTGTTCAGTTGCCTCCCATACATGCCCCAACCATGGATCGAACGAAAACTTAGGTATGTGATCTGATCAGGAATCGAACTCACAACCTTTCAGTGTACAGGACAATGCTTTAACCAACTGTCCAAGGCATATCCTCTGTCTTTTTTTTTTGTAATTTCTCACCCCTTTGTTATTGGTTAAAATATTTCTGGTGAGAAAACAAGGATTATAGCTCATTTATATTCTCCCCCATGTATTTAGCACAGGGACTGACACATTGTGGTGGCGTGGTTGGATTGGGTGAGAGGACTTGATTGCATTGCTAGGATCAATGCATTAGCGCCAAGTTTATTCTATGAATAGTAAGTAGTGACTTCAGTTTATTTTATGATTCTTATCAGTTCAGAGAAGAGTGAAAAAATATTTTAAATATATTTCAAATGCTAAAATCATGTTTACTATTAAGTGTAAATTTAAAGATTTTAAAAATAATTTATTAAAATATTTAAGATAATCTCATATTGACTACAAATGTAAAAAGAAATAAAGAAATAAAGGCAGTAAAAACCATATTTTGACAAAAAAAAGCAGGAAGTTATAGCAAAAATAGAAACTGAAAAAAAAAACAGTAATCAGTGTAACACACACACATACACACACATTCCTCTTTCCTCCTACAATTTTCAGTTTATAGGTCAAAGGATATATCAAAGCAAATTGAAAATTTTCTAGGAAATAAAGATACTACATT